AGAAGAAAAAGTGACTTCTTCAGGGTGGCACTGCTGGTAAGCAGCAAGGCTGGGATTCTGGGATTCACTCCCTGGCTCACGTGATTCTGAAAGCCACCAAGTCGAAAGCTGGAACCTGGGGATCTCCTACTTCTGAAAGTGCTCATAGAAAGCTGTCACAGGGGCCAAGCGCGGTGGCTCACGCCTGTAATCCCAGCACTTTGGGAGGCTGAGGCTGGTGGATCATGAAGTCAGGAGATTGAGACCATCCTGGCCAACATGGTGAAATCCCGTCTCTACTAAAAAAAAAAATACAAAAATTAGCTGGGCGTGGTGGCAAGTGCCTGTAATCCCAGCTACTCAGGAGGCTGAGGAAGGAGAATAGCTTGAATCCAGGAATTGGAGGTTGCAGTAAGCCGAGATCGTGCCACTGCACTCCAGCCTGGCGACAGAGTGAGACTCCGTCTCAAAAAAAAAAAGGAAAGCTGTCACAGGTCAGGCTTGTTCTAGGTGCCGGACAAATCCATGTAAGAGATGAATAGTAACCAAATCATGCCATAAACAGACCTGAAGTAGTCACCAAGACCTTCACTGGGAGGTGGGCACCCAGCTTTGGGGAAGAGAGGCTGGACTGTCCCTGCTCTGGTGGCACAGAAAACCTCTGGAGAGGAGAGACAGTTTAGCCTCACTCCAAATGCTGGGTCAGATCTAACTGGGCAGAGACCAGAGCCTGAGTCATAAAAGCCATTCTGCAAATGCAGTTTTCTTAGTGCTGAATGAGCTGTTTGGGCTCCCGCTTGGTTTCCCCTTTAAGACAGGAAGTTCATTCTTCCACACCATTTCTCAGCCCCAAAGGAAAGTTACTTTCCTAGTCAGCCACCTTGGGGTGGTGGCCTCTGCCCGCCCTGCAAGGACATCCCAAGTCCCTTTCTTCCTTCCTTCCCTTTATTTTTTTTCTTTTTTGAGACAGAGTCTCCCTCTGTCACCCAGGCTGGAGTACAGTGACCTGATCTCAGCTCAATTGTACCTCTGCCTCCTGGGTTCAAGTAATTCTCCTGCCTCAGCCTCCCGAGTAGCTGGGATTACAGGTGTGCACCACCATGCCCGGCTAATTTTTGTATTTTTAATAGAGACGGGGTTTCACCATGTTTTGGCCAGGCTGGTCCGAAACTCCTGACCTCAGGTGATCTGCCTGCCTCAGCCTCCCAAAGTGCTGGGATGACACTCATGAGCCCAGTGCCTTTCTGTGACTCTTATGTTACCTGTTTATTATATGACCAGGTCTGGGTGCTCTTCTAGGGCTGGCCCATCCATCCTGAAGCCTCAGTCTGACCCAGTACAAGAGTGACTATTCATGCCAGCAGGGAAACTGAGGCACTGACTCAGTTTCCCCAGCTGCAGCAAAGAGTGGCAGGGCCTCTGTCTACGAACCTAATGGAAGGCACCCCAGAGGACAGCTGCTGATATTGACTGAATCCTTCATGTTCCTCCCTCTACTAGAAGCCCTGCAAGCATCAGCCCATTTTCCAGGTGAGAAAACTGAGGCCCACACTGAGGAAGCCACTGCCTCAGGGTAGACTTGGCTAATCCAAATTCAGGTTGGGGCTGCTCAAGGCCAGCTCTGTCCCAGCCCCTCCCAGAGACCGGAAAGGGCGTTCAGGGAAACAACTCAACCCTTCACTGTCTCTTTCACTGTTGCTTTCTGCCCACACAAAGGGCAAAGCCTGCCTGGGTCCCCCGCCCAGCTGCCCCTGTAGAAGAGCCACATGGCCCCAGTTCTGCACTCGGCAAGCTCTAAACAGCTTCCAGAAGCCTCGGCCATGCCAGCACCTTTCCCAGATACTTTTTTATTTTTTCCATTATTTTGTTGGTAATAAGGAGAAGTCATTTTTTGTGCAGAACAGACGGTATTTTCTTTGCTCCCCACAATGTTCAAGCATTTCGTGGCTTCCAGCCTGAGAACAGAGCCAAATCCTTCCCTTGTGCAGATGCCTCATGAAGTTAGAAGCAGCCCGGGAAACCGAGTCTGTGCCTCAGTTTCCCCTGTGAGATGAATAGTCGCTCTTGTGCTGGGTCAGACTGGGGCTTCAGGATGGATGGGCCAGCCCTAGAGGAGCACCCAGCCCTGGTCATGTAATAAACAGGTAACATAAGAGTCACAGAAAGGGTTTGGGTTCACCCCTGTCATCCCAGCACTTTGGGAGGCTGAGGTGGGAGGATCACTTGAGCTCAGGAGTTTGAGACCAGCCTGGGCAACATAGTGAGACCTTGTCTCTAAAAATAAACTTTAAAAAAGAAAAGAAAGGGCCGGGCGCGGTGGCTCAAGCCTGTAATCCCAGTACTTTGGGAGGCCGAGGTGGGCGGATCACGAGGTCAGGAGATCGAGAACATCCTGGCTAACACGGTGAAACCCCGTCTCTACTAAAAATACAAAAAGAAATTAGCCGGGCGTGGTGGCGGGCGCCTGTAGTCCCAGCTACTCGGGAGGCTGAGGCAGGAGAATGGCGTGAACCCGGGAGGCGGAGCTTGCAGTGAGCCGAGATCGCGCCACTGCACTCCAGTCTGGGCGACAGAGCGAGACTCCGTCTCAAAAAAAAAAAAAAAAAAGAAAAGAAAGAAAGAAAGAGTCACAGGGATTGGGACAGGGGAGGGAAAGATCCCGTCCAAGGCCAGGGTAGTCAGAGAGGCTTCCTGGAGGAGGAGACAGGGTGGTGGCGCTAAGCCTGGAAGGACAAGGTGGAAGACATGCCTGCAGAGAGGGCATTCCAGGTGGATGGAACAGTTTGGGCAAAGGCCTGGACGGGGGAAAAGACTCAGATCTTGGTCCAGGAGTCAATCTCCAAAGACAATCTGACCTGGAATTCACCTAAAGGTAATTCAAATGTAACTACCAGCTCAGATATACTATTCTTCTTAGAAGGAAACAGAAATAAAGGAACAGGGAAAGGAGACAGGAGCAGAGGTCTTGGAGATGAAAAGCAAAAGCCTCTCTGAAGTTGTCAAAAAACAGCCAGGTGCAGTGGCTCATGTCTGTAATCCCAGCACTTTAGGAGGCCGAAGGGGGCCGGATCACTTGAGGTGAGGAGTTCGAGACCAGACTGGGCAACATGGCGAAACCCCATCTTTATTAAAAATACAAAAATCAGCCAGGTGTGGTGGCATGAACCTGTAGTCCCAGCTACTCGGGAGGCTGAGGCAGGAGAATCACTTGAATCTGGGAGGCAGAGGCTGCAGTAAGCTGAGATTGTGCCACTGTACTCCAGCCTGGGCAACAGAGTGAGACTTTGTCTCAAAAAAAAAGAAAGGGAAAAAAAAGAAAAACTCAAATGTAAGGTCAGAGCTTTAGGGCGCCACAGGCCTTGATTCCAGGGAGCTCCGGGCCTCTGCCCATGAATGAACCAACAGCACTGTGTGATTTTGGAGAAGGTGCCAGAGAGGGGCTGGCACCAGGATTGACAAGTGGGACCCATGGGCTTGGGGCTGGGGAGGTGGATCTCAGCTCAACTCCGGAAGGACGCTCTCCTGGTGAGTGTGGGAAGGGGGTGCTACCTGTGACCAGAGGTGACAAAGCCAGGCCAGTGGAGGCTGAGGGGATACAACCATGCGTTGGAGACATTCCCTCAACCTTTGGATCCTGGAAACCTCAAACAACAGCAATGATCACCGTAATCCCACCATTGTGGGCTTTTTTACCATCGTCTTGGGAGGGACAGAGGTGGACAGACGTCCCTGCTCAGGGATGGGGCGGTCAGGAGGACAGACAGGAAGGTTTCTCTCTTTGTCTTGCTTCCCGTTCCCTCCCAAAGTTGATCTCTTCCGTTTCCTGGCAACACCCATTGAGCACTTACTGTATGCAGACCCTGGGACCCACTGCCCCCTCCCCAACTTCACTGGGCCACCCATGTCAGCCCGGGAGGGACCTGACCTCCCTCACAGGCCCAAAGTTATGACTTCAGGTAGTGGGGAGAGAGGCAGCTGTCCCCTGAGAAGGTGACAGGAGGGTGAGAGGTCACATCGCAGTCCGTACAACTCCATCTACTTCCTATCTCTCCGCCTGTCTCCCCCGTGTCTCTGTTTCTGGGTCTCTTTATCATCCCAGATGTCCCTCTCCGTCTGTCTCTCTGTCCTCACCCTCTGCTCCCAACTCCGACCCCCCGCAACCCCCCCAGTCCCCCTCCACTGCCCTAGCCCCCTCCCCCAATCCTCCCTCTCTTCCCCAGTCCCAGCCCCCGCTCCTCCCCCGTGTCTCCTCCCCTCTACCCCTCCCGCTGCAAAAAGCCAGCAGGGGGCGCAGCGGGGCGGCCTTGGCGGCCCGGGGAGGCGGGGCGGGCGGCGGCCGCGTCGGGACCGGCCGCGATGGGACCGGAGGCGGCGCGGGCGGCGGCGGCGGCGGCGCAGACAAAGGCGCGGGCGGCGCGGAGGGCGGCGCGGAGGGCGCGGGCCCGGGAGCCAGGGAGCGAGCGGGGCGCCCGGCAGCGCGGAGTCAGCGCCGCGGGGGCCGCACCCGACCCGCGCCTGGACACTCGCGGGGCGCCGACCCGGCAGGGTGAGCCCGGCCGGCCGAGCCTGCGCCGGGAGCGCGGGGGCCTCGAAGTCCCAGGGCCAAGGGGAGGTCGCGGGGGGTCCCCAGAAGTTCCGGACCCGGGGACTGGGAGCGGCTCAGGGGGTCCCCAAGTTCCAGGGCTGGAGGGAGCGCGGGGGTCCCGAATTTCTGGATTCAGGGTCGGAGAGGGGACTGCGCGGGAGGTTCCCAAAGTTCTGGACCCGGCGTTGGAGGAGGCTGCGAAGGGGTCCCCAAAGTTGCGGACCTGGGGTGGGGTACTGGCGTGGGAGGGGTCCGGACGTCCCGGACCCAGGGACTGGAGGGATGGCAGGGGGTCTTCGAAGTTTAGCAGTCTGGGACAACGCGGGGGACCCGGGTCCCGGACCTGGTTAGAGAGGAGGCAGGGAGAGAGTCCCCGGAGTTACCGACCTGGGGTTGGAGGAGGCAGAAGAGGTGTCCCCCGAAGTTCTTGACCCAGAGACAGGGGGCGTCGCGGGAATCTCGGAAGTTCCAGGGGCAGGGCACATGTCCCGGAGTTGGGGCGCGCACTGGGTGTGGGGATGGAATCCTGAATTAATAGTAACCCCCCGTTCTCCGGACTGGGGTACATGGGATGGGGCCTCATCCACCGGCCAGATTGGGGATCCCGGGCACCGGGCGGTGTCGGACCCCCCTCCGGGAGCCCCGTGGCCGGCGGCATCCGAGGCGCATGACTAGTTGGTGAGTAACTTTCCCCAAACGCTGCAAGTCGCAGCAGGAGCTGCCGGACCGGAAGGGCCTGGGTTCCGGGGACCCCTGTGTTCCCTAACTCCCACCCAGCACAGGACCCGCCCCCTTTCCAGGCCAGAGCTGCCGCCCCACCCCCACTCAGGGGCTCCGGTTTCAGACCCTGTGACCAGGACAGCAGCTGCCCAGGACAGGATGGGGGGGCATCCCCCCTTTGACCACAGAGGCCGCTGGGCCGGGGCCTCCCCTCCCCCACCTGTCTTCCCCTCCTCCAAACCCCTCCTTGGCCCCCTGCACATTCGGGGTTGCTGAATGGCCCAATGGGGAGGTTGGGGAGCCCTGGTCTCCCAATGTGGATTCTGCTCTGCCCCCCATGGTGGGCACTGGGATTGGCTGTTTGTCTACATCTTGTCTTTTTAACTTGGCTAGGGACTCCCTGGGGATTTGGACCCTGAACTTCAAGGTGTACCTCTGCCCTAGGGTGGGAGCTGTGGGGGGTGGGGTCCCTCTGCAGGATGTAGTGGGGAACTGGTCTCCTGGTACTACACACCTCTCAATGCCCCACTTTTTGATGGAGAGCCCCACTCTGGCCAGTCATGGGTGAATGTGGTGGAAAGAATTCAGCAGAGATTTGGCTTCCACAGTTCAGCCCAGGATGGAGGGGACCCCACAGGGGTGCAATAACCGGGACAATGAGAAATTTACATCTGGATGTCAGCGGCCACCCGGCTCCTCTCAGAGGGCCATCTCCTGTACAGGGTGTTGTGGGGGCTTCCCCCAGACAAAGAAAGATGGGGTCCGCTTGCTCTAAGTGATCTATAGCAATTATCTTGCCTTTTTGTTTCTTTTTATAATTTCTTTCTTTTTTTGAGACAGGGTCTCGCTCTCTTGTCCAGGCTGGAGTACAGTGGCGTGACCATAGCTCACTGCACTGCAGCCTTGACCTTCTGGACTCAAGCAATCCTCCCACCTCAGCCTCCCGAGTAGCTGGGACCACAGGCACATGCCACCACACCCAGCTAATTGTTTAAATTTTTGGTAGACATGGGGTCTCGCCATGTTGCTCAGGCTGGTCTCGAACTCCTGGGCTCAAAGAATTCTCTTGACTCAGCCTCCCAAAGCACAGGGTGTACTTTGGGCCTTTCCTGCCTTTTTGATTGAAAGTTCCATGACAGCACACCTGGTGATGGGTTCTGAGGTAGAACCTGCTTGGCCTCAGCCTGGCCTGAGGGACACTCATAGTCCCTGCTCTCTCCCTAGGGGCCAAAGCAGCGCTCCTGCCACCTCTCTGGCTGCCCCCTAGAGCCTGCCCATCCCGACCTGACCAATGTCCACAGCCAGGTAAGCTCCCACCTCCCCCAGCCCAGGCCCTGAGCTGTCTAAGGGGGTTGCCTGGCCCCCACCAAACACCCGGTCCCCATTCAGGGAGCAGCCAATCTTCAGCACACGGGCGCACGTGTTCCAGATCGACCCGGCCACCAAGCGAAACTGGATCCCGGCGGGCAAGCATGCACTCACTGTCTCCTATTTCTACGATGCCACCCGCAATGTCTACCGCATCATCAGCATCGGGGGCGCCAAGGTCCGGGTGGGGTCTGGGTGGGGAAGAGGCACCAGGAGTCCTGGTGACAAACCTGGGTCTAGTGGCTGGCTTGCTGTGTGCCCAAGGGATGGGAAACCCTGGGCCTTCTGTCTCCTGAAATGGTTCAGAGTAAAGACCTTCAAGACCCTAATACAAGGTGATACCTGGGGGGTTTCATGTTTGTTATTATCTGTCCCATCAACCTTGAACTTTGTTTCCCGACCCCAGGCCATCATCAACAGCACTGTCACTCCCAACATGACCTTCACCAAAACCTCCCAGAAGTTCGGGCAGTGGGCGGACAGTCGCGCCAACACTGTCTACGGCCTTGGCTTTGCCTCTGAACAGCATCTGACACAGGTGGGCCCGGTGAGGGGGAAAGTGGAGGGAATGGATGAGGCTGGGCCCAAGTCTTCTGGGCTCAATTTGGGATTTTGGGCAGGTTCTCTATCTTCTGATCTACAGGATGGGATTGTAGGATGAGATGAGACTGAAGCCCCTTTAAGGTTCACTGGTTTGATTCCTAGTTCGTTTTTCTGTTTGTTTGTTTTTTGAGACGGGCTGGAGCGATCTCGGCTCACTGCAACCTCTGCCTCCCGGGTTCAAGCCATTCTCCTGCCTCAGCCTCCCGAGTAGCTGGGACTACAAGAGTCTGCCACCACGCCTGGCTAATTGTTTGTATTTTTAGTAGAGACAGGGTTTCACCATGTTGGCCAGGCTGGTCTAGAACTCCTGACCTCAAATGATCCGCCCGCCTCGGCCTCCCAAAGTGCTGGGATTACAGGCATGAGCCACCACACCCGCTCTTGAGTCCTAGTTCTACTTCCTCTAGCTCTAATTTTGGACACACGCTGCTCCTCTTTGGGACATCAAATGGGTGGCTGGCCTGGGCTGGGCACTTTCCCATATGCCCTAGCAATACCTTCATCCTCACCTCCCTCCACCCTGTGCCGTCTCTATACTTCCATTATTATCTTTATCCATGGTTTTGTTGATGATGAGTGCTTTCACGAAGATCTTCTTCTTCTTTTTTTTTTTTTTGAGGTGATGCCTTGCCGTCCCCCAGGCTGGAGTGCAGTGGCACGATCTCGGCTCACTGCAACCTCCGCCTCCCGGGTTCAAGTGATTTTCCTGCCTCAGCCTCAGAGTAGCTGGGATTACAGGCACCTGCCACCTCACCCAGCTAATTTTTGTATTTTCCATAGAGATGCGGTTTGGTTGGCCAGGCTGGTCTTGAACTCCTGACCTCAGATGATCCACCCGCCTCGGCCTCCCAAAGTGCTGGGATTACAGGCATAGCTACCACACCAGGCCTTCTTTGTTTTCTTCTAGAAGCTTTAGAATTTACCTTTCTTTTCTATTTTTTTTTCCTCCCTCCCTCCCTTCTTTTTTTTTTTTTTTTTTTTTTTTTTTTTTTTTTGATTTTGAGACGGAGTGTCGCTCTGTCGCCCAGGCTGGAGTGCAGTGGCCGGATCTCCGCTCACTGCAAGCTCCTCCTCCTGGGTTCACACCATTCTCCTGCCTCAGCCTCCTGAGTAGCTGGGACTACAGGCGCCCGCCACCAAGCCCGGCTAGTTTTTTGTATTTTTTAGTAGAGACGGGGTTTCACCAGGTTAGCCAGGATGGTCTCGATCTCCTGACCTCGTGATCCGCCCATCTCGGCCTCCCAAAGTGTTGTCTTTTTTTTTTTAAACAAGATCTCGCTCTGTTGTCCAGGCTGGGGTGAAGCAGTGTAATCATGACTTACTGAAGCCTTGAACTCCTGGGCACAGCCTCCTGAGTAGCTGAGACTATAGGCACACGCCACCATGCCTAGCTAATATCTTTTTTTTTTTTTTTGAGACGGAGTCTTGGTCTGTCACCCAGGCTGGGGTGCAGTGGCACAATCTCGGCTCACTGCAACCTCCACCTCCTGGGTTCACGCCATTCTCCTGCCTCAGCCTCCCGAGCAGCTGGGACTATAGGCGCTCGCCACTACGCCCGGCTAATTTTTTGTATTCTTTAGTAGAGACGGGGTTTCACTGTGTTAGCCAGGATGGTCTCGATGTCCTGACCTTGTGATCCGCCTGCCTCGGCCTCCCAAAGTGCTGGGATTACAGGCGTGAGCCACCGCGCCCGGCCCTAGCTAATATCTTTATTCTTTATTCTTATTTTTATTTTTTGTAGAGACAGGATCTCACTATGCTGTCCAGGCTGTTCTTGACTCCTGGCCTCAAGCGAGCCTCTCACTCTGGCCTCCTAAAGTGCTGGAATTACAGGCTTGAGCCACTGCACCTGGACAATTTACCTTTCTAATTTAGGTCTTTTTTTTTTTTTTTTTTTGGAGACAGAGTCTAACTCTGTTGCCAGGCTGGAGTGCAGTGGCTTGATCTCGGCTCACTGCAACCTCTTCCCCTCAGGTTCAAGCAGTTCTCCTGCCTCAGCTTCCCAAGTAGCTGGGATTACAGACATACCACACCTGGCTAATTTTTGTATTTTTACAAAATTTTTGTTTTTTTAATTTTTGTATTCTTAGTAGAGACAGGGTTTTACTATGTTGGCCAGGCTGGTCTCAAACTCATGACTTCAGGTGATCTGCCTGCCTCAGGCTCCCAAAGTGCTGGGAATACAGGTGTGAGCCACTGTGCCCGGCCTAAAAAATTATTTATATATTTATTTATTTATTTTTTGAGACGGAGTTTTGCTCTTGTCCCCCAGGCTGGAGTGCAATGGCACAATCTCGGCTCGCCGCAATCTCTACCTCCTGGGCTCAAGCAATTCTCCTGCCCCAGCCTCCCAAGTACTAGGATTACAGGTGCCCGCCACCATGCCCGGTTAATTTTTGTGTTTTTAGTAGAGATGGGGTTTCACCATGTTGGCCATGCTGGTTTCGAACTCCTGACTTCAAATGATCCACCCACCTCGGCCTCCCAAAGTGTTGGAATTGCAGACCTGAGCCACTGCACCCAGCCTGAAAAAAAAATTATTTATTTATTTATTTTATTTTATTTTATTTGAGTTGGAGTCTTGCTCTGTTTCCCAGGCTGGAGTGCAGTGGCCCAATCTCAGCTCAGCAAGCTCTGCGTCTTGGGTTCACTTCATTCTCCTGCCTCAGCCTCCCAAGTAGCTGGAACTACAGGCGTCTGCCACCACACCCGGCTAATTTTTTGTACTTTTAGTAGAGACGGGGTTTCACCATGTTAGCCAGGATGGTGTTAGCCAGGATGATCTCGATCTCCTGACCTCGTGATCCGCCTGCCTTGGCCTCCCAAAGTGCTGGGATTACAGGTGTGAGCCACCGTGCCCGGCCAAAAATTATTTTTAAACGAAGGAAATTTATTTTAAAACCAGGGTATGGGGGGAAACCTATCCTATTCTAACTGGAAAACTGGTATTGCTTGTCATAAATAGGTGGTAAATGTAAACATGTAAGCATTTAATACAACAAAAACAAGAATGGGATGACTACTTTCTCATTGACTTCCGATGTCTCTCAGAGCCTGAGACCTAAAAAAATAAAATTTAAAAAAAGGAATAATAACAGGTGTTAAAGACAGATTAGCACCCACCTCAGGCTGTCTTTGTTGAAATAGCCCTGATAAAGATGAAAAGGGGCCCAATGTGTTGGCTCATACCTGTCGTTCTCACACTTTGGGAGGCCGAGGTAGGTGGATCATGGGGTCAGGAGTTCGAGACCAGCATGGCCAATATGGTGAAACCCCGTCTCTACTAAAAATACAAAAATTAGCCAGGCGTGGTGGTGCGGGCCTGTAATCCCAGCTACTCAGGAGGTTGAGGCAGAAGAATCACTTGAACCTGGGAGGCAGAGGTTGCAGTGAGCCGAGGTGGTGCCACTGCACTCCAGCCTGGGTGACAAAGCGAGATTCCATCTCAAAACAAAACAAAACCGTCAAGAATCCAATTTACAGCGGGATCAGATAAATCGAAACTCAAAGGTGAAACTTTAAAAAAAAAAAAAAATAGCGGCGGGTGGCCTGTAGCACTGGGAGGCTGAGGGGAGAGGGTGAACCCAGCAGCTTTGGGAGATAGCCACTGCACTGGAGACAGCGAGACTTCAAAAAAAAAAAAAAAAAAAAAAAAAAAAAAAAAAAACAAAACAAAAAAATGCTGGGTGCTGTGCCTGTAATTCCAGCACTTTGGGAGGCTGAGGCAGGAGGATCACTTCAAGTCGGGAATTTAAGACCAGCCTGGCCAACATGGTGAAACCCCATCTCTACTAAAAATATGAAAATTGGCTGGGCGCGGTGGCTCAAGCCTGTAATCCCAGCACTTTGGGAGGCCGAGACGGGCGGATCACTAGGTCAGGAGATTGAGACCATCCTGGCTAACATGGCGAAACCCCGTCTCTACTAAAAACAAAAAATTAGCCGGGCGAGGTGGCGGCGCCTGTGGTCCCAGCTACTCGGGAGGCTGAGGCAGGAGAACGGCGGGAACCCGGGAGGCGGAGCTTGCAGTGAGCTGAGATCTGGCCACTGCACTCCAGCCTGGGTGACAGAGCGAGACTCCGTCTCAAAAAAAAAAAAAAAAAAAAAAAATGAAAATTAGCCAGGCATGGTGGTGCATGCCTGTAATCCCAGCTACTCAGGAGGCTGAGGCAGAGGCTACAGTGAGCCAAGATCATGTCACTGCACTCCAGCTTGGACAACAGAGCGAGACTCCATCTCAAAAAAAAAAAAAAGAGGAAAAGGGCCATTCTGGGGAACATGGCTAGACCCCGTCTCTAGAAAAAATTAGCCAGGCATGAGGGCACACACCTGTAGTCCCAGCTCCTTAGTGGAGGGATAAGGTAGAAGGGTCACTTGAGCCAGGGAGGTCAAGTCTGCAGTGAGCCCAGATCATGCCACTGCACTCCAGCCTGGGTGACAAAGTGAGACCCTTTCCTAAAAAGAAAAAGAGGAAACGGGAATTCCTTTCCCTTTCTCAGCGTGGCCCAATGTATTTAAATGCCACCTCTGTGATCTCATGCCACCTGCCCACCCACCGTGGTTTATCATTCTTCAAACTTTCCTTCTTCCAAGGTGTGTGATAAGGGGATGGGTACAGTTCAAAAGTTACGGGGCTGTCACTGGGTGATGGTGACGTGTTTGGGAGGATGGACTGGGGTTTTACTGTCTTTTCCTCCCCACTCCCTTAGTTTGCTGAGAAGTTCCAGGAGGTGAAGGAAGCAGCCAGGCTGGCCAGGGAGAAATCTCAGGATGGCGGGGAGCTCACCAGTCCAGCCCTGGGGCTCGCCTCCCACCAGGTCAGCACTCCCTACTCTCCTATGCCTGCCTGGGCACCTGTGAGTCAGCCAGGTGCTCAACAGATATTAGGGGACCTTGATATTGGGAGACTGGGGCACTGTGCTGGTCCTCAAGACCCAATGCTTCCAGATGACTTAAAGTTAGACCCATGGCAGGGACCATGGAGGAGGGGTGTGGAGTGTGTCATAGAGGGTCTGGACCTTGCCTGGGGCCGGCGGGGTGCACCCAGTAGGTCCCAGTAGCAAGACCAGCTCAGGCCGGGCGCGGTGGCTCACGCCTGTAATCCTAGCACTTTGGGAGGCCGAGGTGGGCGGATCACGAGGTCAGGAGATCGAGACCATCCTGGCTAACATTGTGAAACCCCGTCTCTACTAAAAAAAAAATTAGCCGGGGATGGTGGCGGGCGCCTGTGGTCCCAGCTGCTCAGGAGGCTGAGGCAGGAGAATGGCGTAAACCCAGGAGGTGGAGGTTGCAGTGCGCTGAGATTGCACCACTGCACTCCAGCCTGGGTGACAGAGTGAGACTCTGTCATGGGAAAAAAAAAATCAGCTCAGATGGCAGGATGGAAGACTAGAAATTGAAATGCTAAGTGTGGCCGGGCGCAGTGACTCACGCCTATAATCCCAGCAATTTGGAAGGCTGAGGCGGGAGGAGCACTTGAGGCCAGGAGTTCAAGACCAGCCTGGCCAACATGGTGATACCCTGTCTCTACTAAAAAATACAAAAATTAGCCAGGCGTGGTAGCATGCACCTGTAGTCCCAGGAGGCTGAGGCTGAGGCCGGAGAATCGCTTGAACCCAGGAGGTGGAGGTTGCAGTGAGCCGAGATCGTGCCACTGCACTCCAGCCTGGGTGACAGAGTGTGACTCTGTCTCAAAGAAAAAAAGGAAAGAAAGAAATGGCTAAGTGTGAGGCAGAACAACTAACTGTCCCTGTGTGTTTTCCCATATTAATTTAGTCAGCTTTATTTATTGAGCACCTGCTGGGTACCAGGTCCAGGGCTGTGCAGAGGGGTTGCTGAGATGAAAAAAATCAGGCTGGACTCTGTCTACCCTCAAAGCCAGTCGTCCAGGCAGTGGGGTTGCTCCTGAAATATGGATTCAGCCTGGGCTGGACTTCCTACTGACATCCTAAATGGGATGTTGAAGTTCGGCCGCAGGGAAGGGAAAGCAGGGAGCTGTTCGATTGTCCCCCTCCCCTACTTTACAGGTTCCAAGTATCTTGGTTTAGACTAACCTGCATCAGACTTGCTCCTGGGGATGGTGAAAGCCCAGGAAGGCAAGGTTGAGGGCGTGGGCATGGAACTCCCAGCCTAGGGGCCATAGGGAGCCATGGAGGGTGCATGAGGTGGGGAGGGACACACTTGGATCCTGTGCTGTGAAGGACCTGCTTAGGGTGCGTAGTTCAGTTGGACCCCCGATGTGACGACCCCAGTCACATCAGCCTTGATCCCAGCTGATATGGGGTCGTGACCTACTCTTCCCCATGTACAGGTGCCCCCGAGCCCCCTCGTCAGTGCCAACGGCCCCGGCGAGGAAAAACTGTTCCGCAGCCAGAGCGCTGATGCCCCCGGCCCCACAGAGCGGGAGCGGCTAAAGAAGATGCTGTCTGAGGGGTGAGGGGCGGGACTTGGGGGCGTGGCATGGGCGGGGGTCGGGGTGGGGGATGAGGAGGCGGTTCTCGGAAGCCAAGGGAGTGCCAAGGATCTAACTGTGGACCCAAGATCTGGGGAAGGGGATGAGGATATGGATGCTGCCCCATCCAGAGCCGACCCCGCCCCTACCCTGCGTTGGCCACGCCCCTCCGTATTGACCCCACCCCTGTCTCGCTGCTAACCTCGCCCAGTCTATGTCTCTCTGGGTTTAGGATAATCCTGGGGCGCCTCCCCACCCCGACCACGCCCCCATCGGCTGACTCTCCCCAAACTCCCATCCCTCCCCCGCCATTCCGACAGTGTCACTGGGTAGATTCCATGTGCCCCCTTCTTTGACTCGGTCCTCTACAAGACCCCACTTCTGCGGGACTGTGCCATCCCCAGGCTCAGCGCTCAGTGTCGCCACGTCCCCAGCCTTGCGTGGCCCTGACTCAGTCCCCCACCCCAGAGCTACCCCACCTCTGGCCCCGCCTCCTAGCCCAGCATTGCCCGTGACTCCGCCCCAGCCTAGCACCACCCACCCATGGCCACCCCCCCAGCCCAGCATTGCTGCTGACTCCGCCCCCAACCCAGTGCCACCCCACCCCGGCCCCGCCCCCTGGTCCAACCTCGCGCCCAACTCTGCATCCTCGCCAGCCTTGGCCCTGACCTAAGCTCAGAGCTATCCCACCCCTGTCCCCGTCCCAGCCTAGCATTGCCCTGATTTCACCCTCAAGCCCGGTGTCACCCCCTGCCGACCCTCGTGTCCCCGCAGCTCCGTAGGCGAGGTACAGTGGGAGGCCGAGTTTTTCGCGCTGCAGGACAGCAACAACAAGTTGGCAGGCGCCCTGCGAGAGGCCAACGCCGCCGCAGCCCAGTGGAGGCAGCAGCTGGAGGCTCAGCGTGCAGAGGCCGAGCGGCTACGGCAGCGGGTGAGGGTACCCCTCCGTCTGGGAGACACCCACCTGGCCCGGGCAACTGTAAAAGCCGCGCCTCCGCAGTTCCCATCTGCCCTGGGTTCATGGACTGGCTGTGTGACCTCAGCAGGTCACTGACCCAGCCTCAGTTTCTTGTTCTGTAAAATGGATCTGAGACAATGCCAACCTCAGAGGGTGCTCAGACCCTGAAGTCCAAGCTGTGCAGAGGGGGTGGTGGCACCAACCAAGGGAGTTGGGTGCTTGGTCCTGGGAGTGGCCAGACAGGAGGCAGATTTCCTAGAGGTTGGGGGAGCAAGGGAGAGTGCAGACGGGGGCGTCAGGGGCTGCTATTCCTGTCCCACAGGTGGCTGAGCTGGAGGCCCAGGCAGCTTCAGAGGTGACCCCGGCCAGCGAGAAGGAGGGGCCGGGCCAGGGCCAGTCACTGGAGCAGCTGGAAGCTCTGGTGCAAACCAAGGACCAGGTGAGTGCCAAATATGCTTCCCGGGCCTCACTTTCCCTCACCTCCTGCGGGAAAGCCAGGACCCCCGCAACAGACCCTGGGAACTGTTTTCCTCTAGGAGATTCAGACCCTGAAGAGTCAGACTGGGGGGCCCCGTGAGGCCCTGGAGGCTGCCGAGCGTGAGGAGACTCAGCAGAAGGTGCAGGTGTGTGTGGGCAGCAGGAGGTGGGGTGACGGTGGGTGACAGTCACCTCAACAGTCAGGACGATATCTACCTAAGACGATAGAGTATTGGGAGGCCCAGGCCCGTGGAAGGCCTGATGCCCAGCAGGTGCCGTGTGAACAGTGGCTATTGGTACAGTTTCATATCCATCTATGGGTTCAACAAGCAATGTTTGAGTCCCTGCTGCATTGCCATGCCAGACCCCGTCAATTCCTCTTCTCAGCCTGAGGTCACAGAGCCTGCACTGGAACCAGGTCTGGCTTGGCTTGGCTTTTTTTTTTTTTTAATTCTTCTAGATGGAGTCTCGCTCTGTCGCCCAGGCTGGAGTGCAATGGCACGATCTCAGCTCACTGCAACCTCCACCTCCCGGGTTCAAGAGATTCTCCTGCCTCAGCCTCCTGAGTAGCTGGGATTACAGGCACCTGCCACTACACCCAGCTAATTTTTTGTATTTTCAGTAGAGACAGGGTTTCACCATGTTGACCAGGCTGGTCTCGAACTCCTGATCTCATGATTTGCTCGCCTCGGCCTCCCAGAGTGCTGTGATTACAGGCGTGAGCCACTGCGCCTGGCCTTGGCTTGGCTTTTGCCAAAGACTTTATGTGAGAAATGTTCATGAGGCACTTTTTTTTTTTTAATTTTGAGACAGAGAGTCTCACTATGTCACCCAGGCTGGAGTGCAGTGGCATGATCTCAGCTCACTGCAACCTCTGCCTCCTGGGCTCAAGTGATTCTCCTGACTCAGCCTCCAGAGTAGCTGGGACTACAGGTGCGCACCACCATGCCCAGCTGATTTTTGTATTTTTAGTAGAGATGGGGCTTTACCGTGTTGGCCAGGCTGGTCTTGAACTCCTGACCTCTGGGTATCCACCTGCCTCTGCCTCCCAAAGTTCTAGGATTACAGGTGTGAGCCACCTAGCTCAGGGGCACTTCTTGTGAGTCCAATTAAGTTCAGATGTTAAAGGACCTACTTCCCTTACGCCTGTATTCCTAGCTACTTGGGAGGCTGGGGTGGGAGAGTTGCTTGAGCCCAGGAGTTGAAGGCTGCAGTGAGCTAGGATGGTGCCACTGCACTCCAGCTTGGGCAACAGAGCAAAACCCTGTTTCTTAGAAATGAGGCAGAAACTGGGCCCCTGGGGGTGGGGTGGGGGTGTGTGCATTTGATTCCTGGTGTGATGGGTGCCCTAGGATGGCTTTGGGCAGAAGAGGGACATGAAGGTGGTCAGACTCTGGACGCCTCGGGCAGGACTGGTGATTTGTTGGGGCCTCCAACCCTGCCCACCCTTTCCTGGCAGGACCTGGAGACCCGCAATGCGGAACTGGAACACCAGCTGCGGGCGACGGAGCGCAGCCTGGAGGAGGCACGGGCGGAGCGGGAGCGGGCGCGGGCCGAGGTGGGCCGGGCGGCACAGCTGCTGGACGTCAGGCTGTTTGAGCTGAGTGAGCTGCGTGAGGGCCTGGCCCGCCTGGCTGAGGCTGCACCCTGAGCCGGGGCTGGTTTTCCATGAACGATTCCGGCCTGGGTGTGGGCCAGGCTGCAGGCGGCATAGTTGGACCCATTTGTCCTGGAAAGGGACTGGGGGTCCCAACTTAGCCCTGGGTGGGCCGGGCCGGGCTGGGCTGGGGTGGGCCCCAGCTGGCTCTGGCTGTTGGCAGCTTGGGGGCTGTTTTTGAGCTTCTCATTGTGTAGAATTTCTAGATCCCCAGATTACATTTCTAAGCGTGGCTGTGTGTGTGTGTTGTATGTGGGTATCTGGGCACCTAACGTATCGCCGGCCCCTTTCCCTGCCTTTTTGGGTGCCCCTGCATCCATGTGGCAGTTGTAAGCCACTTGCAGATGAAGGGTGAGACTTGGAGTCCGAGGGGGGTGCCCAGGTCACACAACCAGGAACGTGGCTCTGGTGTCTCTCTGCCTGTCCCCTTGGGCTTAGCCCATGTTGTCTGGCCAAGTTTGGACTTTCATGGCCCCTTCACTCTGGCTACAACCCCCAGAGGTGGCCAGGTGGGTGGTCAGGGAGGCACATAGCCGCGCCCATTCGGCACAGGACTGACCTCACTGAAACCTCACAGCCGCCTCTGGAGAGCAGGACAGTTGCTATGCCCATTCTCCGGAGGAGGAAACTGGAAGCCCAGAGAGGGGCTTCAGGACCCGAAATCCCATGGTCATTCGAGCAGGTGGTTTGTCTGCAAAACTTAGGGCCTGCCTGGTAGAAACGGACGTGAAGCACCGGCAGCCGCACCCCACCTCTCCTGTCCCCCTGCTCTTCCAAAGTGAGGCTAAGTCAAAAGACCCGTTTATTGAGCACCTCCTGTATGCGGCACCCCTAAGGGGTGACCTTGGGTCGGGGTCACAACCTCCGCCATGTTCTTTCTTCCTCTGCAGCCTGAATCTTGGCCAAGGCTCAGGGAGGGGGCCAGCCAGTGGTTTCGGGGCAGAGGAGCAGGGCCCGCACAACACGAGCGCCCACGGGTTCCACTGCGGGGCACTGGGTAGGCCCCAAGGAAGTTTCCTCCGACCCTCAGCTCCATAGAAGAGTCCAGGACCGGGCAGATGGCTGTGTGGGGCTCAGGCAGGGCCCTGGGAGGGGACTGGGCCTGAGTGGGACCCAGGTGGGGCCCTGGGTGGATGCCCCTTGTGGCCAACCCTGCCGGCCTTCTGTCGCTTCAGCGTCTCCTCCACCTTCTCCTTGAAGCGCCGGTTCTTCTGCTTGATCTTGGCCAGCTCGGCCTTGCGCTTGGCCTCCAGGTCAGGATCCTGGTACAGAGAGGACCAGGGGACGGCTGAGCTGGCGACCCCACCCAGGGAACCTAGCCACCCACCCCTACCTGTGGGCTCAGCCCTCACCTTCCCCTCCAGGATCAGCTGCTTCCGTTTGTTGATCTCCTTTTTTTCATCAAAGTGGGCCGCCTCCAGTTTCTGGTGGAGGGAAGCGGGGTAAGGAGATGCCGGTCATGGAGGCCCCACCTGGAAGGGAGCACCACCGGCTCCGGAGAGCACTTTAGTCCCCGCCCGCCTCTGACACTCACGATCTCACACTCTCTTCGCACCACGTTGACCTGCGTGAGGATCTGCAGCACCTCGGCCTCTTCCACGGAGAATTCCTCTAGCTTCTTCTCTATGGGGACAGTAAAGCCGGGGGTGGGGGTGGGGAGGAGACGTGCCATGGAGTGGGAGTTCAGCCAAGTAGTGAGTTCCCCATGCTGTGGGGTATGCAAGGCCATCTGGGGTCATATCAGGTAAGGGCCAGGTGGGCAAGATCAGGGATTTCTGAGCTAAGGAAGGTATGGACCGCTGTCTTTCAGTCTCACCGTCGCCCAAGCTGGAGTGCAGTGGCACTATCTCGGCTCACTGCAACCTCCACCTCCCGGGTTCAAGCAATTCTCGTGTCTCAGCCTCCCTTTTTTTATTTTTTGGTGTTAGCAGCATTATGAGTTTAACCATGAATATTGATTTCTTGGAAACAGTGTCCTTTAAAGTCCAGATATTTCTTGCTTTCTCTTTTTTTGAAGACAGGGTCTTACTCTGTCATCCACGCTGGAGTGCGATGGCTCAATCACAGTTCACTATAGCCTCTGCTCAAGCAATTTTCCAACCTCAGCCTCTTGAGTAGCTGGAACTACGGGCGTGCGCCACCATGCCCGGCCAGTTTCTGTATTTTTTTGGAGAGGCAGGGTTTCTCCATGTTGCCCAGGCTGATCTCAAACTCCTGGGCTCAAGTGATTCACCCACCTCGGCCTCCCAAAGTGCTGGGATTACAGGTGTGAGCCACCGCGCCTGGCCTTCAAGTCCAGATGTTTTTTTTTTTTTTTTTCTTTGAGACAGAGTCTCAGTGTCCCCCAGGCTGGAGTGCAATGGCGCGATCTCGGCTCACTGCAGCCTCTGCCTCCCGGGTTCAAGCAATTCTCATGCCTCACCCTCCCAAGTAGCTGCGATTACACGCGTGCGCCACCACACCTGGCTAATTTTTGTATTTTTAGTAGAGACAGGGTTTCGCCATGTTGCCCAGATTGGTCTCCAACTCCTGGGCTCAAGTGATCCACCCACCTCGGCCTCTCAAAAGTGCTAGGATTACAGGCGTGAGCCACTGTGCCCGGCCAAGTCCAATTGTTTCTAAATTTTAGGACAGTCTATGCAGTGATCAGAGACACCTTAGGAAGTGTCTCTGTCTTGGCTGCGTATGAAACTACTCCTAGAGGTTTTTAGCAGGCCCAGGCCCTGTCAGTGGGGCCTCTGACATCTCAGGGGCCTTCCACACACCACAATCTGAGAAACCCAAGTCCCCTCCTGACTCATGTGGCTTTCAGCTGCTGGCAGCAACTATGGGAAGTCTGTTTCAATAAATGGGCAAAAGAACTTCTTTAGGGGGTGCCTAGGGAAGGAAGCCCAGCCTAAATCTGCTCATGGGAGCAGGCCGGCTGGTGTCTGACAGGGGCAAATGGGTCTCACCCTGAGGCACCCACCTCTGCCCACCCCGCCCCCCCTCCTCCACCCACCCCTCCACCCCACTCACTGATCTGCTCCTCAATGGCGTACACCAGGTGGATGTCGTACTGTGTCACCAGTGTGATGGCCTGACCCTGCCGCCCTGTGGGGATGTGCCAGTTATCTGCTATGTGCTGGGGGTCAGGACATGGGGCGAATAAGGGCAGATCCTGATGGCTACACAGCTCAGGGGTCCTCCTGGAGATGCTGAACAAGGGCTTGGGCTTGGGAGGGATCAGCCCAGAGTATCTGGGCTTGACCCCAAGCAAGACCTCTGTGTGGAGGACAGGTCGCTGGCGAGACGCAGTTCTGCCGGTCTGGCCTTAAACAGCAGTCAGTTACTGTCCGATTTCCCTTTTTGGCTTGGCTGCCAGGGAACCCAGTCTAAGTAATGCCAGCCATTAGCCCCGACAGGCCTCAGACCAAGATCTCTGCTTGCTGTTTCTGTGACGGTGACTAGAGCCGAAACTGCACTGATGGCGGACAAGGTCCGGGACCCTCATGGCAGACCCACGTGGACGTCACTGTTCTCATTATCCGCCATGTGAGGTCTGGGGAGCAGAAGTGACCTGCCCAGCACTACAGGGTCAGGATAGAAGGTCCAGGCCCAGTTTGACCCCAGCAACCACATCTTTCCTGTCTCGAGAAGTGAGAGCATCTCATGGACACCATGGCCCTCCCTGACGGGCAGCAGCAAGTAGTAGGGGCTGGGGCTGTATGTGCACCCTCCCAGGAGGCAGCTCCACGCTGCTCAGTTCATCACCTGGCTTGGGTGAAGGCAGCACCTCACTGGCGTTTGCTTTATCTTATATTTTTATTTTATTTACTTTTTTTTTTTTTTTTTTTTTGAGGCAGAGTCTCATTCCATTGCCCAGGCTGGAGTGTAGTGGCACAATCTCGGCTCACTGCAAGCCCTGCCTCCCAGGTTCATGCCATTCTACTGCCTCAGCCTCCCGAGTAGCTGGGACTACAGGCACCCGCCACCATGCCTGGCTAATTTTTTGTATTTTTAGTAGAGATGGGGTTTCACCGTGTTAGCCCGGATGGTTTCGATCTCCTGACCTCGTGATCTGCCTCCCAAAGTGCTGGGATTACAGGCATGAGCCACCACGCCCGGCCTTTATTTACTTATTTAGTTAGTTATTTTTTCAGACAGAGTTTTGCACTGTCACCCAGGCTGGAATGCAATCGTGCAATCTCTGTTCACTGCAACCTCCGCTTCCCAGGTTCAAGCAATTCTCCTGCCTCAGCCTCCTGAGTAGCTGGGATTACGGGCGCCCTCTACCACACCTGGCTAATTTTTTTGTATTTTTAGTAGAGACAGGGTTTCACCACGTTGGCCAGGCTGGGCTCGAACTCCTGACCTTGTGATCTGCCTGCCTTGGACTCCAAAAGTGCAGAGATTACAGGCGTGAGCCACCGCGCCTGGCATTCTACCCTACCCTACCCTACGCTTTCTTTTTTTTGAGACAGAGTTTTGCTCTTTTTGCCCAGGCTGGAGTGCAATGGTGCGATCTCGGCTCACTGCAACCTCCTGGGTTCAAGTGATTCTCCTGCCTCAGCCTCCTGAGTAGCTGGGATTCACCGTTGCTTCAGAAAGGACAACTCCCCAACTTGCAAACATGGCCCTGAGTAGCTCTCATCTGTGGGCTGCACCCTACCCACGTCCTACCACCTGAATTTGCTGGGCAGGCTGGAGGGACAGGGGCCCAAGGCCCGGCCTCCCCCTCCACCACTCACCTGCACGGGCCGTCCGGCCAACTCGGTGGATGTAGATCTTGGGGAGCCCTGGGGTGTTGTGGTTGATGACCACCTGTACCGTAGGGATATCCAGGCCCCTGGAGGGAGATGTGGCTTGTCAGCTCCACTGTCCATGTGGGGAAACCGAGGCTAGGACTCACCCAGGGTCACTCAGCAGGGAGGCTGGGGCTGCCTGACATGCCTGAGGCCAGCCTTCTCATCCGTGGGGCCTTGTAGTAAACGAGGGAGTGCCCTTGGCAGGGGACTGGGGGCTGCTCACCGGGAGGCCACGTCTGTTGCGATCAGGATCCGGTAGATGCTGGACTTGAACTTGGCTAGGGCGGCAAAGCGTTCTTTCTGCACGGGGTTGGGAAGAAAACTGGGAATGAGTGAAGGCAGGGTTTTCTGTGTGAGGCCTGGGGACAGGGTAGAGGCCGGGACAGTCCCCCAGCTGTCCACTGAGGAAGGTGGCCATGAGAAGTCAGACCGGGACAAATGAGTG